CTCAATTCAACCCAGTCTCACATTTGCACTGTTGTGTTATAACATGTATTTTGATATACATCCACTTCATCTTGATGTTGTTGTGCAAATTCATACAGCTCAACAAGTTTGGCTCTTAGCCACTTAAAATACTCATATGGATATTCCTAAATGTATTTAGTAGGTGAGAGACTATAAATAACACACATTGAGCCATAATTCCTATATGAACATTAATATGTTTAGAGAACAGCTTGTTAACTGTTGCTCTGCTGGCTCCATATGACATTCACTATACATATTTTAAGTTATAATCCAGATTAGTCTGCTTCAGGTTTAAAAACTTCACAAACATCTGCTTAACAGTTTGCAAGACACTGTAACAGTCAGATAATCAGATCACTGGAATAAAGATAAGTTGAAATGCACATCTTCCCCATATTTATCTAACACTTGTAATAATTCAACAAATAGCAGACTCTTGATGTTTCCTACCTATTAAATGTGTAAAACTCTTCTATTGCTCCAAACTGAGATATGCATTTTCAGTTAAAATACAAGAACTTGATTGTACTGAAGTGTCAATCAGTGGATAAGCTTTGGCCATGGTTCTCTACCCGAGTCTTCCCTTGCATGGCCAGCTTTTATCCAAGCTAAATACAACACTTCTCTACAGCCTGCCACACCCAATAAACTGCCTGTTATCCTCAGATTTTCATATGATGCAACATTTAGATTATGGTTTCCACATCTCAGGAAAAATGTAATTCCCTGACAATTTGGTCTATGCTCTATAATGTATCATTGAACTACTACCTATAATAATATGTTAAGTTGTAAAATATTAATTATACACTGTTAAATAAACACAAAACAGGCTGCATATTCCGTCACAGTTTGCTTAAATGTCCTTTTGCAAAGTTTCAATATCATTGGTAACATCTTTCTTGAATCATTGTTGTTGTTTTTTGTTTTGTTTTTTATCAGAGCTCACATAACAAGGGCAGTTTATCGATTTGTTTATGAGACTGTATATAAGTCGTACTAAGTTTAATTTAAATCACAAAAAATGTTATTTCTACATTTTGACTTTTAATACATAGAAGGAACATGTTTATGTAAAATGGAATATTCTTTAACACATATTTTTTCATATGTCAAATATTTATTAAAGCATTTTCTGATATGTATGCATGCATAAAACTTTCAGTTATTAATCATAAACTGCAGTAAACTCATTTTTCTGATAGAAAACATTATCGCATGTTAAAATCACCCACTGATCCAAAGCATACTGTATTACTTTTGCACATGCTTGGAAACTGTGCACATGAATTTCATCTATATCAAAATACTGAAATCTTTGAATTAACGTGAATATATTAATTGATTGATCACATTACAGCCAGTATTTTCAGGTTTATGCAAATTTTATTCATTCATGAGATTGCCAGATTATGCTTATAAATAAACTCCAATTATACATATAGGACACTTCATATACAGAATCAGATCTGCTCATAAAATACCCATAATGTTTATATAGTTGCATTATTATCCTATGTCATCATATTCATAGAGGTTATGGTAACTGGCACAGATACAACAATGTTCATCACTGACAGTGATATTGCATTACAGTATTACACCACTCAAGTGTCAAGTTTTTCATTTTGTTCTTAAATAATGTTGCCTTTTACGTTAAATAAAAACTGCTACAAAGCAAAACTTTTACTAAAAGTATTTACATTATTTTTATTCTGGCATAGTCCCTGAATTTAGACACAATGATAAACACTAAGACATCACCCATACTCAACCACACTAGCACTACACAATCTCCTTAATTAATATCTGAATCTCAAAAACGTTCAGCCATATTCAACCATACTAGCACTACACAATCTCCTTACTAATTAATATCTGAATCTCAAGAATGTTCAGCCATACTCAACCACACTAGCACTACACAATCTCCTTAATAATTAATATCTGAATCTCAAGAGTGTAATCATGGTTTGAAAGCTACAGTTCCAGAATGATACAAAAACTATTTATCTCTTTATATCTTCAGTCTTTATTCTTTCTTTTTCCTAACATCTTGTTTATTGCTTGACAAACAGTAAGTTTTCCACATATATTACTCAGATTAAATTACATATTTTTAGGTAAACATGATGTATTCTGCTAATCACTGGTGTAAAATGAACTCTCTATACAAAATTCATGGATGGCAAATAGTAACATATTCTCAGAAACCTTTGTGTGTGATACATTAGCTACTATCAATGAAACATTCTATAATTCAATATTTTTTTAAGTTTGATATTTTGTCAAAACTGATCTCCAAATTACACATTTCCATTAATATTTTGCTTTATATGAAAAATTATTTTTGTACAATTATTATAGTTATTTGAATAACTATAAGTACAGATGTGAAATAAAATAATTCACCAAAACAGTGTATAATTGTTCTATCTTACTTTACTGAAATAATCAAACTGTTCATTTTAATTATGACATCTTTTAAGTTTTATATGTCACTGATGTAATGTGTACAGGGTATTACATTGACTACTGACACATGGTCTGTTTATTTAATGAACTAAAATTCTTAAGATAAAAATAACTAATTTAATTGAAACAGGGCTTTCAGGCTGTAGTAAAACAATCGTCCATGACTACATGTTAGTAAGACAAGAAGAAGCATTGTCCAGAGCCTTTACACTCTGTTCAGACAGGAACCTAGCTACTGTTTACATAAGTTATTACGGCTCCCTTCATACTCCACAACAATTAATTGTAAACAAAAAAGATCAATGTAGACAAAACAATGTTTATGCATAAAATACACATACTGACATGCTAAATGCACCAAAATTAAACTGTATGCAATATTTTGGCAGTAATGATAATTTATGTTTTTGCCAACCATGTCCTATTTGAAACAGTAAGTGTCAGAGAATACATATGTTTATAGTGCATTAGCTGCTCAATGATGTTTGTAATTCAAGTTACCAAAGTAAAACCTCTGACAGCATTGCTCTGATAGCAAATTACTGGTATGCTGTCAAGTATAGAACAAAAGTATTAACTAAAGTGATCTTCAATGACTGAACTTGTCTGTTCACAATCTACCCAAAGTGCATAAATTAGTCCTAGTTACACTTATCAGTAGCAAGAAACAAGGTCTAAAATGCTATGTAAACAAACAATCATCAATGTCATTATCTCAGGTAAAATTGTGAAAATACAAACATTTCAATACTGTCACACTGAACATGCTATTTAATAAAACCAGTAAAACTTCAAGTATATATATATACTATATTCTTTGATACGATATGAACTAATAAATAGCAATATTCTGAACAACTTTCATTACTCTATGTGTGAATGTATTAATGTAAGTACCAATGTACATGAACAACTTAACATAAACATATATACAACATCATATATTCTGTAAATATGTAACACAGCATAACATAGATCAACTAGTAACACACACTGCTGGACACCAGCACTTGTAGCTGCACCATTTGCTAACATTTCACCAGAAATCTCAACATGATCTATTTTACAATAATGATGATATGCTAAATACAGCACAACTATGATCTTTCCAATACAATTCACACAAATTGAATCTTTATTTCTGTTGACCAATATAATATATTTCACATGAACAGACAACACGAAACAGTAAAGTACATTAATTTTTACAAGCAACAAACACCTATAGCCATGCTGTCTGTTACTGTTACTTTACTTGTCATTAGACATTAGTAATAGGCCTATTATATTTTTTAACACTGTATTAGACATCTAGTCCTATGAACTATCGAGAATTGAAAGACATGGCAGATATAGTGTGGTTGGAATACTGTTATTATATGCTCTCCTAATCCTTGAAAATCCCTAACAAACTACACATAAAATGCAGTGTCAAAAAAATATAACAGGCTTAATACTAATGTCTGATGACAAGTAAATTAATTATAAATCATCAGTTAGGCCTTACTTGGAATACTGTCTACAATTTTAGTCTCTTTATTACTGAAAGGTTTCAGAGGAAGGCTTTAATCATGAATCTAGGGATTAAAGGATTATTTTGTAGGAATAGGTGAATCTTATATAATTTTACAAAAATATCCAGGGGATCTAAAGACAACAGGATGAGAAGCAGAAGTTTAATACTCAGAAACAAAAAAAAGAGGCTTTGGCATTTTAAATTTTATAACAAGTGTTACAGGCATATGGATGCATTGCACATTACATGAGTACAGTACTTTACAAGAGTTTAAGAGAGAAATTAATGATTTCTTGAGGAACAAAAGGTGGGTTTAAATTTTTACTTGTCTCACTGGTGGGTGAGTAAATATAACAAATATACAATGAATAGTTGAAAACTGTTGCCTCAAGAGTTGGATAATCAAGCTATAATCCACATTTTGAACACTACTAATTGTTTTACTACCCTTTTAGGTTCTCAAGATGTGCTATAATGAGTAAGGAATCAACAGAGAGCACAAGCTGACAGCTGCTTTGATCAACACAAATCTTACAGGCTGCATCCACAACCAATACAGAGAAAATGGATAAAGCTATAGTGTTCCAGATACAAAACTGTCTGGACATGGTACAAATAGGATGGATGTAAATTATCAGAGTAACTAAATCAAACAAGAGAATAATTTTTTTTACCATTTTCTACAGAAAAAAAAAATGTATACAGAGTTTGCAAGAAAATGAATTTTCACCAATGACATTCAACTACAACTGGGTAGCATGCTAGTAGCTGACATTATCAATAATAATATTTTTTACTAGTATTAAAACAAAATCTCATGATACATGTAATACAACATGCCATATTTTTGTGAACAGATGCGAAATATACCAAAAATTCAAACTGATAACAAAAAACATTTCCTGAAAATCTGTTATTACTAGTATTACACATTAATTATGTATCTAAGAAGTATTTTAGGAACTCACACAACAACAAGACAAACCTCTGTTGAGCTGTATAACTCAGTGTTTTTCCAGTTGATGTCATCATTTTCCCAGCTCTTGTTTTATCATGTTTTCCACACTCCTTTAGAAATCGACCCATTGCATTCTCTTCCTGAGACAATGCTAAAAAGTATGGAATAGCTGATTATACACACAGGATAATCACTTGCTTAGTCAAAATTTTTGAGCATTCTGGCATTTAAGAGATTCAAGTTTGGTATAGCAATTGAATTATTATTAAAACTTGTACTAGATAACAAAATGTTTGAATAAGTAAAACACATTTTCAAATATTTATACACAACCTAGTATCAAAGTAACCTTTCATGATATTACAAATGTCACTAAACTAACTGAAAACTAACCATATTGTCATAGATTATTTAACACATAATCAAAAGACATTATGTATCAATCAGTTTTGATCAAAAGTATAATTTGTATAATAGCTATTCTTTGTTGGATTTGGCATAAGCTACTCAAGGTGTATTTGTACTAACTGTCAATAATTTTGAAATGATAGACTAGAGGGAAGGCGGCTAGTCAACACCACCCACCATCAACTCGTGGGTTATTCTAATTGAATAGCAGGATTCTACATTTATTACTCTTATAATGCATCCATGACCCAAAGTGTGAAGTCTGATTTTTGTTCAGCAGTAACGAAACTTTGAATCCACACCTCAGCACACTATCCATTGTATAATAGAAATCTTAAAGTTCCAAGTTTAAAAATTATTTATACAAAGACTATTAAATTGTTGTTAACTGTATTGTGGTACCAGAGTTTAGTGAAACAGTAATTATATGCCACCTCTAAGACTGAGTACAGGATTTCTAGATCTATAATTTGTAAGGTGTGACTAACTTTCTACCGCTACATTACTTTTTTTATCCATTTTCATCCAAAAACATTTTTGTAAAAGAAATATCTGTTGTATTTCATTTTCATAATAATTTACCATAAATATAATACATATATTGCACTCTCTCATAAATATTTATTATAAAGTGCATACATCCCTGTTTTGGTATTTACTTTTTTGAAAGAAAATTACATGTCAAACAGGTATTACCTTTTCAAACATTACCAATAAATGCTATAAACAATGTGTCACTCATAAATTATCCTTGTGTACTGTTTGACCTCTATAAAAAAATCAATTTGTTTGATGACTTGTGATAGTTCTCAAATTTATTAATGTAATTGCTGGCTGGCTGCCTTTCCCCATTCTAATACTGCCTGTATGTCAATTCCTGGGCAATCTGTTGTTGGAACGGTGCACATGAGTCCTTACATATGTGGTTGGTAGAGATCCTCCACCTATCGTGGACCAGATGAAAAATTCCCGATGTTGTCTGGTTTTAGACTGGAGTTGACCCACCATGTTTGTATTCCCCCTTCCTATTGTTGCCCATATGTTGGGTTCCCAGGTGGCCTGGTGTTGGTTGTGCAATGGGACTGCACACATGTGCCATGACTAGGATGCTGGAAAGGAAGTAGCGTTTCCTTTCTGCTTCCTGGTCTAGAGGTGAAGATGGTTGGGACCCTCCTCCTACCATGGACCAGAAGACACATACATACCTGATGCTGTCTGGTTTTGGACTGCAGTTGACCCACCAAGTATGGTCTGACACCCCCTACGCTACTCAACACCATCTGGCATGCCCATTTACCCTATTGGACTTGCTTCCTTTCTGCCCAGCTTAGCAACAGGGCAAGGAGTATACCCTGGTACAGAAAAGGTGCAGTCTCTCGCGGATGTGACCCTCAATTTTTTAGTTAAGGTATCACACTACATGGGTATTCTTCCAGCAATTAGAGTGGACTCATCTTCCTTTTAGTGACTGGTGCCCAGTGACTAAGCGGTACCAGATTACATTTCACATCCCTGAACACAATTGTTTAAACTTACATATCTGTCTAGTTATAATTACTTTATGTGAGAATCCTCTCCATAATCACTGATATACAGACAATGTTAGCTGTCCTTAACAGGTGTGTTCAATGTTTGACTTTCATTAGCATTTCACAACTATTATTTTGCAACACATCTCAAGTCCATAATTTAGCTTGGTCAAAGCATGTGTTTATTTTAAAGTAGTAGTTCAGCTTGTGAGAAAGAAAGCTGAAACATTTGTTTAATATTTCCCAACATGTCCATAAGCTCAAAGACTGTAATTAGCCAGTGAGAAAGTATAGTTGAACTATTTGGTTATTTTAGGGTGCTTCAGTACTACTTTTTATAACCAAATAAATGTTCACTTTCATAGCAAACATATTGTGCAATATATTTCTTTTTATGATTTTCTGAAGGTGCAAAAATTCTAAACTATGTGACAAAATTTGAAAAAAATAAATAAATGCATTAATTAAAAGATAATTTATATAAAACCCTTGTTAAGTTATTTGAATTTGTTCTACCCATCTTCCATCATCACAAAATGAAAACTCAAGCCAACAGTTAAGTACAAAATTAGCCACATGGAAGGTCTGAAAATGCTTGTGAGAGAATAAATGTAACATGACAGCAAGGGAAAGAATGAAAGAGAAACTTAAAACATATAGCAAAAATCTATATTTCTTATAGAAGTTTGTTGAGTTTAACAACACATGACTGTTTAGCTACTAAAGCTGAAGAAGAACACATCTTCACAGGGCAAGACACTGCAGGGTTGTGACTAAACTACACTTTTGAGTCAGGCAAATCCTTGTGTGGTATCACACCTACCTAAATTAACCATGTCAGTAGTCATTCTTTTTACTCATATTGAAAAGGAGATTAATTTTCAGCTCATACCAATTTGTACAAATCTCTGTATCACCCCCTGGTTGGGTATGACTGACAGACAAGGATATCTTCTATGTAATGTTCAATGAGACTTGCAACTTTAGCTCAAAGCAAGGATTAAGACAAGGTTACAACTAGTTGCATCCTGTTCCCAAAGTCATTACCTATAGAACACCTTCGTGAAAATTTTAAAATATTCCTAATTAAGCATATATTATTTTCTAGATGTAGAAAAGTAAAAATTGTTGCAACTAACACACACACACACACATTCAGCACTGTTAAGAATGAACATTCTGAGTGAGGCTAGTGGTCCAAATTAGATTAGTAGGTTTTCATAATGTTTGGTATCAATTACATTTGAATCACCAAACCCATAGTAGCATCTAATCTTAAATTTACATAATTTTTAGACTTGTGTGTCTTATTAATAGCATTTTAGAATTGAACTAAAATTTGGTTAAGTAAGTAAGTTTATAATAATTTTATAAATGCATTACATTTTGATTTCATTCAAAAAATGATACAAATTTCTCTTAATAATGCAAATGATTCCCAAATGTCAACAAAAGTAAAATGTTGGATTAGATGAAGCATATCATATACTCATACGTATATATAAATAGTTAAAAACTAAACTAATTTGGATGCATTTTAAAGTATTTTATATTTGACTTTCATACTCTTTCAAGAGTTTAAAAAATACCATATTTGCATGATGTATAATTCAGAATCTAAAATATGCCAAAATTGCATAAAATATATCAATTTTTGTTTACTACTGTGATACTACAAATGTTCTTTCATATCATATGATAGAAGTTTGGAACATTTACCATATTACATACAACTGTTTATGGTATAAAAACTATATCAGAAAGAAATTCTAAAATATCAATATATTATTACTATGCATTTCATTCACATTATTTTGTAAGTATGCAAAGCACTTTCAGCATATCTTCCTGGTGAAATCCAACCTGAAAAAAGACAGTAACTCTCATTTCATCTTTATATTGTTGATGATTGCCTCAATTTTAGTTGACATATTGTAACTTATTTACCTGCTCTTGATGGACAGAGAATTTGACAGAAGAACAGACTACGAGTTCAATTTAAATGTTGGAAAATAGATCTACTTTACACAAGAAAAAATATATTGTCCAGAAAAAGGCTCTGAACATCTGTAGATCCTCCATGGATCCTTTGTAGATCAATGTTTTAACCACCATATAAAGTCTGAAAACGTGGCACTGAAATAAATGAGGGACTGGACAAGACTTCCCATTACCTCATCATACAAAGATAACAAGAACATCTTGCAGACATTAAGGCCATATCATTAATGCCAAGTGGATCTACATAGATCAATGTTTTAACCACCATATAAAGTCTGAAAACGTGGCACTGAAATAAATGAAGGACTGGACAAGACTTCCCATTACCTCACCATATAATGATAACAAGAACATCTTGCAGACATAGAGGCCATATCATTAATGCCAAGGGGATCCACACATCTTTATAATGAATCATTCTCTTATCCATTAACTGCATTCAATAAATAGATGATGATTCAAAAATATACTCAGTTTCAGTTTTGAAGTCTGTTTGGTTGAAAAATTATTAAAAATGTGCCCCTTCAATGTGTATACACTATTGGTATAAGAACACCTTTCCAAATATTTGTAACAGAAATATGCACAGATATATTACACACCAACCTTCCCATTTAATATACAGTTTGTTTTATCTAATGTTCATTTTATTGTTGTAAACATGACATCTTAACAAGACAAAAGAAAGTGTAATTATTTCCAGCTACTCACATTTCTTATATACTCCCCCCCCCCCCATGATGTCCCACGGTAGCACTGATATAACTGGAAATCAATTTCAATCTGTACTTACTTGTTATATCTTCAGCATGTATAGAACTTTTACCCAATCTAATTATAGATGATTCAGTTCCCAATATTTTTGGTAACATTTTCTCATATTTATAATTGAAACACGAGTAATGCAAATGTAAAGCCAAAAACTTCAGCTGTTCAGTTAATTTTCAGTGAATGATCAAAAATGATTGATGCATTTAAAAAAAAAAGTGTTTCCAGATCACTTTTTTCCCTCCGACCCAACTACATTCAAATACACAATTTAGTTTTTACTGTTCTTTGGAGACTTGTTATTATCAATTATAAACCAGGAATGTATCACTAAAATGTGCCAACATATACTGCCTTTTTTTACATTATCAAAAAAAAAAAGTTATACTTTAATTATTCTGGTTAATATTCTCATCCCTCTATATTGATGTATGACTTTACCAAATTAATCACATACTGTACTGTGCTGTCATAATATCTTTGATACATCCAACACATTGAGATCAGATATCTTATTCTGATATTAACATTTACCTATATTACCTGGTAATGTACATCCTTAAAATATAAACTACATCCTAATTTTCTGTAGTGTAAGAGCCTTAGAAACTATTCCATTCCATTAACTTACCACATATCCTATCCTGGTAGTTCTCTAAAACTCTCATGAGTGTGTTGCATGTTTCACTGATTGCTTCAAATAACTGCAAAGAAAAATGTTTTGGTGAAATCTAAGTAAAATCAAATTTTATAAAATATAGTTTTCAATTTATTTCACATAATATAATAATAATAATAATATATATATTATAGTTTTAACGCACATAACAGATCATCATATACCTTAAATCACTGAGAGTATATACTACTGTGGTATAATACACACTACTAGAAGAGGTATCTACAGAAATATAACATGAACAGTGCTAGGAATACACTCCCAGCACTCTGAGGGATTTTCTGATGTTCCTCCATTATGTATTTATTCCCATTATTACTCTGTGCCGAATACCACACACACTGACAGCAACTCTCTCAAGTGATACACCAACAAAATACTGTTGTAGCTGCCCATGCAGTTTGTTTCATGGATCTTTAGCACATTTCATATGATTTACACCAATTCTCTACAGTAGCATTTCACAAAATGAATGCATTCCCCGCCAGAGGGACATGAGCGATTAGGAGTCAATAGTACAATAATGTAAGATTAAGCATTTTAATAAATTTTTATTAATGAAAATAATGAGTAATTACTACAACATCTACAGCATTTTGATGCATATCCATATATTACATTTCATCATCACTTAACTCAATCTTTCGCTCATTTAAAAACAAAAGGAGGAGAAAGCATATTTATTAAATAGGGCATGCATGACAAAAGTATGGGAAATTCTGCTACACAAAATTCTGGCATCCAACCAAGTAGAAGTATTGTTTTACTCTCTCCAATATCTTCTTAACATCCAAGTTTCCAGCTGTTAGAAGTTTGTAGAGATGATGTTGTGCTTCAGAATGTACAGACTCTGTACTCACTGTTTATGTCCACTAATATCTTACCTCTCCAACATAACAAGCCCTCTTATAGGCATAATGAATCCCACTCTGCTCAATACATCTTTGTCTTCAGGCTGTATGGAGCTATTGTTTGCCATGATAATTTTTCTGCACTATTCTTGATCCACTGAATAATTGGTTTACAAACTTGTATCTTTTGCCTGAGCATCTTTCAATTGAGTATAAGACCACATTAGTTCTTCATCACTATTTGTTGATTTCCCATCTTGGATGATATTCTGTGGTTCCTTAGGTTGGTCATATTTAACATCTTGTACTTTCCTCTTCAAACATTGTTTACATTTACAATCTTCATTAACACATGGTCTTTGGAATAATCTGTCAGCATTTCCATGGTTCTGTCCTGGACAATGCATGATGTTGTATTCCTGAAGTTTCTGGAGCCATCTTGCAATTAACCTTCTGGATTGCAAAAATTCACCAACCACTTCATTGCTGCATGATATGTCCAGAGTGTAAACAAGTGTCCAAAGAAGTAATAACTAAAACGACTTATGACTCGAACACTTAGAAGCTATCTCCAAGTTGAACAGTACCTCCTTTTGCAGCATTCACTACCTTGTTATAGCAAGCAATCACGAGTTTTTATTTGTGTTGTACTTGTGATAACACTGTTCCCACTGTAAAATCACTAGTATCTGTATCTATAATGAGTGGATCCTTAAAATAAGTTGGATATCCTAAATCAGAAGTAGTGGTTAATTTGACTAACCTCGTAACAACCATAAAAATAAATAAGAAATAAATCTAAGTTACCCTTTTTTCCTTCCAGAATGACATCAAATTGTAACAGGAAACTACATTTGTTTCTCCAAAACAGCTTAACGTTTGTAACATAATACATTTGTCTCTACTTAAATTCTATTGTTTTATTGCCCTTCTAACTAATAATCCTGCTAAAAAAATTGTAAATTACTTGGCAAATATGCAGCTAACATTACCTTATTGAATCACATAACGCATGAGGTACTCATGATTATTATTATTATTATTTTTCTTTATCTTACCTAATTTAATCTAATTAGTTTCTAATTTTTACATTTTAGTTACTTTTATAATAATAAATAAAGAATACACATGAAAACAAGAAATATCATACTTACCTGGGTTCTCATTTTTTTTCTGTCAACTGTTGAAACATAAGCCTACTTGTTTATACTATACCATTAGTATAAACAAGTAGTCTTACTACAGTAAATTTATTTAATTTAAGCACCTAAGAATACAGAATAATAACACATAAAAAAGGACAATGTCCTATAACTATCATGATTTTTCCAGCTTTCTAACTGTGCAATAAAAGCCATTAAAAATTCAGCTAATCTCATCATTGTATTTCTTGTAGAAATAAATTTTGAAATGCAAGCAAAATAGACAATTCTCTGTAAATAATATAATATGTCGTTTGATAGATCAAAACTCTGGCTTTCTATTGGTTATAATTAATACAGTATTAAGCATTAGAGAGAACTACTGGCAATTTGTGAAAGAGAGGATGTGACAGGTAGGCATGACAAGTGGATCAAATAAGATTGAAGTCTAAAAAAATATGCTTTATCTAAGTAATAACAATATTATAATAAGTAACATATATTAAATTCCACACTTCATGGAGAGTTGGTAAATAAATTAGAGAAGGAGAAAGACCCAGAGAGCAAAGGACAATTCTCATACAAGAGAAGATTGAAGAATTTATTAAATATTTCCTTATAAAACTAAGAACTTAAAACTGATATAATATCAAAATTTGACTACTAACTACATTTTGATGCCAAGTTTATTTGCATACCATAATAATAAATTAGTTTGATTAAATTTTGAATGTAACTCTTTAAAAAAAACTGAACACATGCACACTTTGACCTGCCCATAGTGATAGGATTAAGTTCCTCTTTCCCCAAGTAATCCAAAACTTTCCTTAGCCCATTATAAGCATAATAAAAAATCTTTCTACGTGCAATGACGTCATCCAAGTAGATGAGTAGAACATTTCAGGGTAGTTCCAAGAAAGAACATATACTCTATCAATCATTGCATTACATAACTGAAATAGTAACACAACAAATTCTCACAACCAATTTCCTACAATAAAGTATGTCTTTTTTCTACTTGCACTTTGCCAATATCCACTCTTATGATCCAATGTTAAAAACCATTTTGGTACAGACAGAGCATTCACAGTAGAATCAATCCTTGGCAGTGGGTAAGCATTCTAATTTGTGACTTATTCATTTTCCAGTAACACACACAGAACAGCCTTTATCTTTACAAGTACAATAGGTAATGCCCAAGTGCTTGGTTATATTATTCCTTGTTCCTTTATAGTTTCTATCTCTTTGAAAGCCTCAGCCTGTTTAGCAAGTGTGAGTTGTCTGGCTAACTGATGTATTGGGACTGCATCTACAGTATCAATCTCATGAGATATTTTACTTGTTTGGCCTAGGTCATGAGATTCATTGACGAAAGTATCCATGAACAAGCCATGTAATCTGTGACAATGATAAGCTATAATACCTCTACAGATCCAGTTATACAGCTCTTGTAAGTGAAGTGGTAAGCTGTCCTTAAGGATTTGAAATCAGACTTCTTACATTGTGCTTCTGAAGTTCTTTGATGAGTTGTTTCACATCTTGCAATGTCCCATTCAGAATTGACTCAAATTTTACAGTTTGTTGTATTCATGGCCCTAATGATCAAATCTTTATTGTTCAGACCCACAATAGTTTTTCCAACCATTAATCCATCAGGACAAGTTGGAGTGTTTGGTTATACTGTGTCCCAGTCACTTAATGTAAATTTATTTCTAACAAATCCTGGTATGAGTATTTCACTTCTTAGTGGAACGTGATTGCCCTCCTTGTTGTCACTGGAAATTCAACATTTGGTGTAGTAATTGTCATGCAGTGAACAAGAATTACCTTGTGAAGCTATTTGAAGCTAGCCTAACCTTGCATCTATGACCCTGCATGAAGTCAATTTCCAATATGTATTTTTCAACATCAATTACCCATGCATCATGAGGTGTTGACAATTTTCCTACAATAAGAGTAACTTCCAGCTTTCCTGCTGTTGGATCTCTATGTACACTTGCTGGTCACATCAATTCATCTTCTTTCTTCATCGCTGGATCTGTTTGTTATGCTTTCCACTGTTTCATCACCTCCAGCAAGTTTATGATCTGACTTCATGCCATATTGTCATCTTGAAAGTTGAAATTTGGTCAAAGCTCTATTTTATTTCCACCAAAATAATCCAACTTCTGACATCACTGTCGTAACATGTTCTATTTGTGTGTGGGATCTTTTGGATTATTGGGTAAAAATAATGCCAAGTCCAGTTCATGTAATGATAATGAACTAACTTATTTCCTCAATAACATATGTTACAGCCTCTGCTCACTTTGACACAAGTTGTAGCTCTAAATTCACATAACTAGCTAACTGACTGATAACAAACATACTAACTCACTGAGTAACTAAATAGACATAGTAACTCTCATTACTAACACTAAATTGAATCATGTACTGCTTCATTGCTTCACTTATTGACTGACTAATTCATTGATTCTGATAGTTATATTGTACCCTTGTTTCTAGATACTGCACAAAAGTTCTAGATTCTACAGAAGTCTTAACTTTCACGAACCTTCTAGATACTGCATGATGTGCCCTCTATCAAACAAACAGTTAAATCAAAATATTATAAATACTAGTTACATCCCTAAATAATGAAAAAAAAGTGAAAACTGGTGTATAATTGGGACCCCTGATAGTATACACAAATACAATGAAAGTACATGTATATATGCACAAAGTACAAAAAAAGTGCTACTGCTTTCACAACAGAATGTAAAGAACAATAAATAGCTGAGAAAGATATACAAAAAAACTCGTGCATAGCAGAAAAATCATAACATAACCAAAGCACAGAAAAGAAAGATGTGTGTATGCACAAAATACCTAGAGAAAAATGTGCCCTTAAATGGTATCATACGTTCAAAGTAAAGGACATGTAGAGGTAGCTACATATGACAGAGATAAATGGAATACAAGCATATCAATAGGTGAGAAAAAAAAACACGTGTAATGACACAGTTACATCAGGATTGCCATAACGTGCAAAT